CCCTGAATATGGACATATAATATTAAACTCTCAGCCAGAATTATCACCTCAGTAGGAAACCAAAAATTATTTTATTTCATTTTATTATTTTAGCTTAGGGTAGAAGGACATGAAAATCAGCAGGTGGGTAGAGATTGTTTAGTTTTGTAAGTCATTTTAGTAATTTTTTTGTTTTAATTTTTTTTGCATTTATATGTTAACTCTTCCATTTGTTGTCTTTATGGTACATATCATCTTTATGAAATGGAAAATGCCTAGAGATTAGGCATTGTTTGGGATGTGCTTTTGGCATTGATAAATGCCATTACTGGTGCAGAATTGCACAGTGTTTAAGCACAGACCCACCAGAGTCATATTGCCTGCCTTTGAATCCTGACCCCATCACGCCATGGGCATGGTGATTTTTTTTGTCCTTCTTGGGCCTTCCATTCCTCATGTACAAAAAAAATTAAATAGGAGATAATCAGTGAAATGTGCTTTGCACAGTTCCTGGCACAGAGTAACCATTTGATAAATATTGGTTATCATTATTGTTTTATAAAAATTATAACTGTTTGAAAGTAATACCATTATTATTTATCAGTTTGTTGGATATTTGTACTCTGATTTTTTAAAATAATTATATTGAAAGCCCATTTAAGAAATAAAAAATACTGGGAACATATTAAAAGGGCCCCCAGAGCTGAAATAAACAAAACATTGAGTGACTTTCCTGGGCATCAGTGAAAGGGATGCCAGGATTAGTTACCACTCAAGCCTATTAGGAAATTACAATTCAAGGACAAAGAAAGCTGTTTCCTCATAAAGTTAAGAACTTGGATGACTTCAGTCACCTGTTTTTGTAGAATAAGTATTAGTTTATTTGTCTGTTAAAACTGGGGAAAGGGCTGTAATTTGGTTTCTTCTTTTGGTGCTGATTTGGAATATAAACACAAAGGTGATCTTCAAGTGAGGGTAATCATTTCAACCTGATGATTGATAACTAGTTAGCATTATTGATAAACTATCAGAGTTGTGTATACAGACATGCACAAATGGCTTGGAATTTGACATTGAAAAATTTCAAATTGAAAGATACTACTGTACACAATACTGAACTGCTTTAGTTTTGATCTTATATTAATTTACATTATTTTTAGTTCTCAGTAAAATGTTGCTGGACATTCTTTCCAAAATGCAAGTTTCTGTAGTTGTGATTTTGACCACAGGACCAAGCTTTTGTGTTAAAGGGATTACTTTAATTCTAAGTGGCAGTAGCATCAAAGAGGAAGATCACTTTCAGGTATGGCTGAGGTTGGCTTTGTGTTATAGGAACTTCAGTCCCTGGGGTTCCATAAGGCGAAAGGACTAGTTAATTCTTTTTACTTACAGTGGAGCTAGTTCTAAACTAAAAGGCCAAGCAATGCAGAGAAGCCATATCCTCAGGTGAATCTGCTACTGATGAAGCAGAGTTTTTCATTTGTGTTTTGTTTTAGTAGTATTTTGTTTACTAGAAGTTTATGGAAATCATAATACCTCCTTCAACAGTAATTTTAAAAGCCTCATTATATTCTTAAATGTGACATTTACATTTTCTCAGAGCCCACATTATTTTTTTGGAAAAAAACAAATCATTACAACAGTTATCTTTGGATGGCTCTTAAAATTTTTCTGTATTTCCCGAAGTTTCTACAGTTAATATGTGTTTTATATTCAGTATATGTATAAATGTTAGCTTTTACAAGATCAAGTACATTGTGTATGTATTTGTTTGTTTATTTTCTATGTCTGTACTTCTGTGAACATGGGAGTAAAGAGTGGTGAGTAGAAAAGTTCCTCCTGGGGCGAATTCCTGGGTGTTGTCAAGCAGGGCTCCCAGAAGCATTTTTATGCTTCTAAATGCATTTTTTGTGTTGGGCTCCCAGTAGCATTTTTATGTGCATATTAAAAATAAGAACATACTTGTTCTCTAATGACTCTCTAATTTTAAAAGAGGTGGATCAAAGATGGTGATGAATGGGTGATAGTTTTGAGTCTAAGGGAAGAAAGACACCAGGATTTCACAATACCACTATCTTAATCCTACTGACAAACTCCAGAGGAGAATGTCTTTCTGGTTTTATAGCCAGAGAGAGTGAAGCACAGAAGATCAAAAAGTTTGCACAACATTCAGGAAGTAAGCCTCAGACCATGGCGTCTCTTCAAAGCCCTAGTTCATCCAGCCACTTACCATCCTGAAATTTGCAATGCGTGATATTCAGAAGCAGCAGATACTTTGTGGCCTCTGATGCTTTTCACAGCTTTGTAGGATTAGAAATCTTCTCTCAATAAAGTATAAACTTTCTTCTAATTAACTGCTGGTTTGGTAAAAATAAAGCCTGGAAAGGCCCTTTTCCTTCTGGTTTGGTAATAATAAAGTGTGGAAAGGTCGTTGCCTCGTGTGTTTCAAACACAATCTTGAAATGAACTAGGTTACAAAACGGTATTTTCAGGCGCTGCTGTTGGTTGAGTTTATTTTGCAAGAGGGCAAGAGGCTTTTCCCCATTTAAGTGCTTAAACAGTTTTCTGGATCCCAGTGAGATGTCTGTGAGGGTTTGCTTTTTGATTTCTCTCTTTCAGTTTCTTGCCAGTGTTTCTGACTTCTTATTACAGAAAGAATGAGGGTCGAAATGAAAGCACTGTAGTAAATAATACAAAAGTAGCGGAAGGATGGCCAGAGGCATAGGGAGTAGTTCTATTGTCATCCCTCCCTGGAAGAACAGGAAGTTCAGTGGTGTGCTACTGTACTGAGCCTCCTATCCCCACCTCCAGTGGCCAGCAGTGCAGGCTCAGAACTCCGCAAGCTTCTCTTTGAGGGAGGGGAGAGGCTGCCCCTGCCCCAGGGGCCAGAGTGGGTGGCTCCAGTTCAGCCCATGGTCTCGAGGGCAGGCTACCGACAAAGGCTTGGACAAAGATTCTGTCATTATACATTCGGTATATATTCAGAGATAATGTATTTTTTTTGAAAAATTTATTTATTTATGTAAGTATGTTTGGCCACGTCGGGTCTTCGTCGCTGCGTGCGGGCTTCCTCTAGTTGCGGCAACTCGTTGCGGTGCACGGGCTTCTCATGGAACGGGCTCTAGGCGCGCAGGCTTCAGTATTTGTGGCTCGCAGGCTCCGTAGTTGTGACGCACAGGCTTAGCTGCTCCATGGCATGTGGGATCTTCCCAGACCAGGGCTCGAACCTGTGTCCCCTGCTTTGGCAGGCAAATTCTTAACCTCTGTGCCACCAGGGAAGTCCCTATTCAGAGATAATTTAAACCTTACATAATTTTGAAAAGAAAAGGATAGGTTATTTATTGAGGACATTTGCCACTGAATTGCTAGAAATAATTCTACTGTGACTAAAATGAGACGGTCTTGAGATATTTGGCAAAAACAATTTCTGGGTAAGTCAAGAGTGAAATATTTCCATCACTAAAATTATAACTAATTTTCTTCATGCTTTGACACGGAAAGAAAGCAAGACTGATAAATTACCCTAAATATTGTATATTCTAAATAAATATTTTATAGTGCTTGGGAATGAAATACAACCAAAGATAGAATAAAGTGTTTTAATACACATGCACGTGCTTTTCAGTTTAGAGTGATTCAAGTCCAGTGTAATTCATGTGAAAAATTAAAAGACTTATTTCCAGGGATTGATTTCAGAATGATACTGTGCCTTGGCCAAGATGACTAAGTTCTTAGAAAATAAACTTTGTAGTCGGGAAATTATAAAGAATAAAATGGAAGCAAAGACTGTACCTCGGGAAAATATCTAGATTTCGTATTAGTTAAATTTTGGCTCTCTGAATGATCTCTCCAAAGAGCAGTGCCCCTCAAAAATGTAACTGTGGAACGAAGAGGGTGCAAAATAACACACGTTTCCTTTAGAGTGTGTTCCACCCCTTTTCTGCTTTATTTTTCCCACACTTTGAATTTCAAGATCTCTGTGTAATTTGATGATGCCCTTAACAACTGGTCTAATTATTGGCAGCAATCCATTTACTAACGTCATCCATATGCTGCCTGGGCCGAAGCATATTTCATGAGTGCTGTTGTAGGTCACTCAAGCCCTTTCCAGAATTGTTCATGAGTGAGTGAACCATTTAGTTGCAATATTCTCAGTTAGGGTCATGTCCGGAAGCTTTCTGTGTAGAATAATTCCATTCCCTTTTGATTAAAGAGTTCCAGCTAGCTAGATCAAGAAATAGCCCGTGGAAAGTTTGGAAATCCTTCTCATGAAGTATTCATACTAAGAAACACCACGAAAGAACTCTGGGCCTGGGTTTCTTACTTTCTTCCAAGCAGAATGTTCACAACTTTCCTTGCCTCTCCCTGTCCCTCCAAGACACGTCATGCAGACACCTTGCTCCTGCATCCTCGGCACAGTGTCACTGAGGTTGCTGTAACAACAGCACACACGGGGTAACATTCCCCCGTAACTACGGCGGCTGGGACGTGAGTCAGTTGAAAAGTTTCACTGGTTTTTATTAGAGTATGACGCAGTCTTATGTCATCCACAGTTCCAAGCCCATCCAAGGCTCACACATGATGATGCAGAGCACCTGATGCTCATCACCTTCCAACGTTAGATGGTCCAGGGACCTCTCACCAGAGCCATTGCCGTTGCTGGCTCCTTCCATAGTGCCCTTCAGTAATACTCACCATAAGCAGCAAAGAGTAAAACTCAGGCCCCGCTGCTGGAACTCCGTTTCTACTGTTACATATTCCGTGTGCATAATAAGTGCCAGTGACCTTGGTTGATGATCAAGAAGCCCCTCTTTTCACCCAGGGAACTGGACAATGGTTAACATCCCAGAAGACACATCTTCACGCCCATGACTGAGAAGAACATGTGTTGAAGAATAAGGATGGAATTACTGTAATTCTCTGTGGGGATTTATGAATGAGAAACTTACTATTTAATATTGCTTGAAAGTGGTCCTAGAGTGATCAGTGCCATCTAACGTGGGCTTTGGTTTGTTTTTCAGACATGGAGATGACCTGATTGTGACTCCCTTTGCACAGGTAAGCCCAGCTTGCTGAATGGACAGGTTTCTCACTCATCTGAAAATTTAATTGTGGGGCTTAGTTCAGGTTCTTCATTTCATTCTAAATCAAACACAAGTACAAATACAAATTCTGTGGTTCATTCCAGTAATTTAAAAGCCATGCTAGAGAATGTGACCTTTGCCATATTGGTCTGTTTCCTATAAACCCATAGACCCAATGAGTATCTTTGCTTCAAATTACAAATTACCCAAGTGACATACTTAAATGGGACCACATTTCCTTAACTGACATAAGCACTAAAAGAGGAAAGCTATATCATGGATTAAGTTACATTTAGTATAATTAGGTGCACAATCAGTTCTTGAAATTCCGTATTCCACTTCAACCTGATGCTTTATTGACTCTTTTTTTAAACACGTTATTTGTCCAAAGATTTAACTGAGTGACACATTTGTGTTTATTTATTCCTTTTAGGTATACAAATCATGAAAATACTTTAACCACATGACAGAAATGCTAGAAGGTGAAAAAACCATCTAAAGAATTTTGAAATATATATAAAGTGGTTGATAACCCGATATTCTTTGTACAGACCAGTGCTTCTCAACTCTAGCTACGCAGTAGAATCATCTAGAAAGATTTTATCCCATGCTGCACCTCTGATCAATTGAATCCAAAAATCTGGGGGTTGGACCCAAACACCTGTAATTTTTAAAGGCCCCAGTATTTTCTGAGGAAAAGTTGAGAGCCACTGGTATGGACAGACTATGGATAGAATGGGATAAAACTGATTCAACCTGGGGCATGAAGCATGTTTAAAGCCAACTGTTAATAGGACTGTTAATAGGAAATGTTAACTATCGGAATACAAGTGATCTAGAGGGTTATAAAAATCATAATCAAGGCTACATCAAAACTAGCTCTACTGCCTTGGGCAACTCACTTAACTTGCCTAAGACTTCTTTTTTCCAATTGGTAAAATTGGGGACTCAGCTGGATTAAGATAGTCAGGGCCCAGTCAAAGCCCATCAAAGCCCACTCTTGCTAAATGAATGAACTTGGACAACTGACTGAACTTGGGCAAGCCTGGTTTCCTCCTCTGTGAAATGACACTTACAAGACTACTCACCTCATAACATTGTCAAGAGATTGAAATAGTACCAAGCTTGTAAAACGCTCAGCACAATTTCTAGAAAATAAAATACTTACTGAATTTTGTGTTGTTATCAGTAAGGGCTCTTTCATCTCCAAAACGTCATAATACGCATTGTTTTTAAAAAATGCATAATGGCAGGGTTTGGATAGCAGTATTATGTATGATTCTTCCACTTTTTCAAATTTCCTGAAATTTTTTAATTGCTATAATTTAGACCAAAACTTTAATGAGTCAGTAAATAGCAAAGTATATAGTGATCTTTTTCATTGATGCAGACAATTAAAGATAGAATGCAACCACCATCCTTTTAGAAGGTTAATGTCTCATTTGCTTCAAGTTTTGCTGGATATCATTAGTTCTTTCTAATATCTATATTTCTATGTTCAAAACATTTACAATCATATGTTTTCATCATATTTTGTGATAGCAAATCTTACGAAGCTAAGGACTTTTAATTGGTTGCTATTGAGGACCCATAACTATATCTAAGAGCTCAGAGCTCTTAGATATAGAGCTCTCAGTAGACAGAATAAATCAGGCAAAATAATTTATAAATGACCATCACCAAATGTAGAAACAATCATTCCAACTTGAGTTTATTTAGTTTATTATTCTTGCTTCTAACTAAAATCTCTAGGTATTGTTGTAAGAAAAATATATAGAAAAATATGGAAAAAAATAATCTGTATATGATACCTTATCATCTTACTTCAGGTAGTTTGTATGAATCTCCAATTAACTGGTCAATAAATTTGACTTGAACCTTGCTATTAGCACCCTTAAATTCTAAGGAAATCTAGTCTTTTACATAATTAGACATTTTTTTAAGTGTACTTACAGCCTCCAAAAAACTAATAGAATTTCAGTATACTGAGAAATATATATATGTAAAATATCATTTAGTCTGTGTTAGTGAACTGTTTAAATAAATAAGATATATACTTAATGCCCTTGAAATTGGAACTTTGAATAAAACCAGCTCTGTGTAATTTGTAAGCATATACGATGCCTGAAAATAATCCTGGAATCTATTTAGGAAAGTTTGCTTATGATTAGCTTAATGACTCATGACACCTTATAGAAGGTGGTTATTGCCCCAGAGGCTGCAGATTCTTTTTCAGTGGCTTCGTCACAGTTTTCACAAATGGCCTTTTACTAGGGTATATGATCTAGAAAGCTCTACTAGAATTTTTTTTAAAAGCCTGTTTAACCCTGAACAGTTTTGATAGAGTACTTTGGGGAAGCCCGTAAGAAAGAAGGCCCAGTTAGTGGCAGTTGTCCATGGCCTTCTCTTCAGCCCGATTGGGCACCACTAACTTATTTCATTGACCTAACCAATAACTCCTCAAATTTTTAATACAGGCTGGAGTATTCACCATTTAATGCTAAATATTATAATGCTTAATCTGTAAGATGTTTATGTCACTTGAATTGATACCAACATTATTTGGTCAAATATACCAATGGACAGAAGACAGTGGACATTAGACAGGTCACTCAGGGAAGTGTTCAAATAGGCCAAAGAATTCCCCCCTTTCCCCAGCATGCTTTGGGGTTTGGAACTTCACTCTAGATCATTCTGGTGAAAAAGCCATACTGCTTTCAAAATAAAATCTTTTGCATAGAAAAGAAATATAAGCAGAAGGAAGAAAAAGAAAATTTCCTATAATTCCAAACCCCAAAATAACTACTATTGACATTTTACTTTCTATCCCTTTCGGTTTATTTTTCTGTGCCTAATTTCCTTCCCATAATTCTTTAAAATGGGCCTCCCACTCTAAACTGGTCAAAGTCTCTTCCCAAGCCCATCTTATCTTCTGCCTCCTCTTGAGAACTTATTTCTTTATGCTTGCCTTCATCTCCAAAACACGAAAAGATCCCTCCCTGTTGTTTCCCAGTCCCAGTTTACTGTGAAGCTAAGAGAATAAAATCTTAAGTTACGAGAGAATTTAGGAAGACGTGCAAGGTCATATTCCACTTTGGTGGATAGGGCTGAAGCATCGTGCACAGACGTAATCTTCAGCAAAGATCCTACAATACAAGATCCTACAATACCCCTCCATATTCTATTCCCAAGTCTAAAACACTGCCAGGGTTAGAAATTCTTGCTGGTGTTCAAGCTAAACACTTTTCCACTTCCATTTTCTTATGTTTTCCCCTATAAGCTCAGAATCCTTTTGATCCCCAGGAAAATAAATATTTCATTGGTTTCCATTTTGAACTATTCTCCTGTGTTTGGGTCAAAATCTTTTGGTTTGGGTATTCCCTTAGGGTAAGTGTTGACAGGGATGATGCCGTGTCACCTGATGCCAGTCGGCAGGTGGCCTTTTCCTCCCAAGGGTGTAGTCACAATTTGGCCAGAGTTCTTGAGGGGACCAAGGAGGCACAACACTGATGAAATGTAGGGAACCCTGCTTTGTAGTCAGTTGCCTTCAGCCCCACCTGTCCCATTATTTGTGTTGCATCATTTGTGACTACCTTGTAAAACTCAAGGTACTTGTAAAACTTGTAAAAAGTCAACTAGAATCCTCCTCTGGAGGTGTGCAATAAAAGAAGTGGAATCTTTGGTTAAGGAAAAGGTAGGAAATATCCAAGTATTATCCTGGATCCTTGGAGAGACCTTCATATCATTCAGACTGAGCAGATATGCCTGATTTAAAAATACAGGGTAGGAACAAGCAAGTCATTTCACCTTTACTCTTACCAAAATACAGCACGTGGGATAATTTTAGGAAAAATGTAGTGGTTATTAACCCTGTAGAACATTACTGTTCCTTGGTAATTGGACATTGTCAATTTTATAAAAATGCCCTTGCGTGTCTCTTGCCCATTTCACCCAGAAACAGGAATCTTGTGGTCTCATCATTGAATCCAACAGGCTCTCCCTGCCGGGCTAAGAAAGAAGAAAATCATCACATTTCAGTTGCTTATACCTGTTAGGTTTTTTTTATCCTTCATTAAAATAAATTTCAGTAGCATGTTCTAGGAATCTAAGTACTTTGGGAGTTGAACTATACGAAACTATCAATATTCAACCTTTGCTGACATACAAAAACAGCAAGTTCATATGGTTTAACCAAAACGTAACTTGGAAAGAGGTTTTCTATCAAAATGACCTCTTTGTCTTGTAAATAATCATAATTTGGCTCCAGGTTTTTCTGGAGGTAAAACCAAGGCAAGGAGTTCTTTCTCCCTCCTCAGCCCCTCCCACCCCACCCAACCCAAGGCCTGTGGCAACTCATGGTCTGTGTTTTAGTGCCATCTAGTGGCATAAAGTGTATTTGGAATCAAAAACAATCCTCAAAACAATTTTTTGTTTCTTTGTTTTTATTTTTTTTGGTTATTTTTTAAGCAGGAGTTTTTTTTTTAACACGGATGTTATGCCACATATTTTTTTTAAAGCAATCTCCTCTTCAAATCTTTATAAGAATTTATTATTATATACGTACACATTTCTTTTAGGCTAGTGTGTTCAGATGTTTAACTTTTTAATGAAGTCCACATTTTCCTGCCATTTTCAGTGAATCTTATTGGTTAATAAATGTTTAGGAATACCTAAGAAAATCTGAGATTAGTGTGTGCAAATAGCATTTAATCCCTCTCACAGACCAGTACAACTCTGTGCAAAAGTTTTCCATAACAATGTCATCATTTCTTTCCTAAAGTGTATTATTTCTCCTCATTCCCAATGTATTTTGACCTTGACTGATTATACTTTTGCTTGGAGGGGCAGAAGAGAAAGAAATGACCTTCATTTTCTAACGGTTGAGCTGTGTGGGAGAAAACCTCAGGGACCTTTTTGGGTAGCAAGCATTAAAGAGTGAAGAAAATTATAGGAGCGTCAGAGCCCTGACTATAGCTCTTAGAGGGTTGAATTCAAGAAGGGTGAGAGCTGCCCTGTAACAAAAGCAAAGAAAGATTGAACCCTAACTAAGGGGCTTGTGTAAAACTGTTTCTAGTTCTTCTCCACAGCCTCACTCTTTGTGTCCTACAATGTAGATACCTCATTCTTTGTGTCCTACAATGCAGACGGGAACAGAAAAGACTAACACAGTGCCTTTGGGATGTGGTCACCCAGGATCACTCAACTCGGCCTAGGGCAACACCCCCTTATAACATTTGGTTGAGACTTTTATTTACACTTCTTGCCAGTATCATGTGTCATAGTGCAGGCGAGAATAGTTAATACTTAACATAACATGTATAAAATATTATTTGTCCTACCACAAAAACAACAATGTAATACTCGCACACATAGGGAATGACGTAGCTGCAAGGTTATTTACTGCAGCAGTGTTTGTAAAAGTGAAATTTAGGAGACAATCTAAAAGTCAATGAGGAGAGGGCACAGGCAGCTGAATGGAGAAGGGGCTGAAAGGGAAATTTCTTTCTTCACTTTCTATTTTGAAATATTTCATCCATATAAGAGAAGCTATCTAGTGACTTTCTAAAATATAAAGAATAGTACTCAAATCAACAGTTTAAGAACTAGAACAGTGCCAAGATTTTAATGCCCTGAGTGTCCTTCCCTGATTTCATCTATCTGCCTCCTCTCAGAAATCACAATAATTTTGCTTTGTCTTTGTTATTGAGAAAGAGACAGTCTACGTTTGCTTAAATTCTGTACCATGTGGGGATAGAGATTATGCAAAAATAAATATAAAATTTAAAAATTAAATTTAAATTAAAAACCAAAATAAAATCATCTAATTTAATATCTTTATTATCACAGAGGCAAAAACCTGTATCCAGAAAAGCAAGTGGAGTAGATCTTTCATGAAGTAATGCTTCCTTTCAAATGAGCAGAGAACATGAATTACCTGCGCTACTATTTCTGTTTGCCCAGCTGTCAGATGCAGTGCACTTACTATAATTTATTAAAATAAAGTTCTCTGAATTCTGAGGTTAAATTTTTGCCTAGAATAAGGATCGATCAGGGGGTACAATAATCTTATTTAAAATGCTTTATTAGTGTATTTGATATTCGGTTCTTAAAGCGTAAATTCAGCCTGCATGATTTGTCAGATTTCTTTCTGCATCACTCAAGATTTCATGCCTAATAAAAGACATCGTGGTTTGATGTCAGCAGTTGGCTATTTGAATACTCCGTCATAGGCAGCGTGACCTTTCGGCAATGTGAGTTGTTTATATGTGATAATGAGCCAGATTTTTCCAGTGACTGAGTTAATCGTGGTTGGCACCTTAGGAAACACCATTAACTCCTTCAGGGGATAATGCTGTAGGTCACTGTCCCAGGGCATAAGCAGTATCCCAGTGACTTAGAAGAATGAATGCCCGTTTCAAAAATGTCTGAGACGTTTTGTCTTAAAACAAAATTTAGGCTGACTTTAGTCTAGGTCAGTGCCAAATGACAAAATTCTGGAATCAGCTCTGGAACCCTTGGAGCAATTATAAAAAATTTGCCCTGCTCCCACTGCCACCGGCATATTGTCAGTTACGGGCATTAAGTGAATTCCCTGTGCGCACGCCAAATCATTAAATGGAATGTTGCCATAATGGGCTAATATTCACTGAGTGCCTTCTGTTTGCCAGGCACTGTTCTTGGCACCGAAACTGTCATTTAATCTCATTTTCACAGCAACCCTGTGAGGTAGATGTCACTATCCTGGTGTACAGATGAGAAACTAAGGGTCAGAGAGATGATGCAACTTGTCTAAGTTCACACATTGACTATATAACAGAACTAGGCAGTCTGGGGTGTTATTGGTACCTAATAAGACATCTGAAATCTATGTTTTAGGTAAACTTAACATTGTCGTTGTCACCCAGATGACCCATAACCTCACCTAATATAGGCTCCTCCCTGGGGGAGACTTGTCCATTCTAGGAGAAAGTGAGGGGGATAGAAGGAGACAGTGCTCTTGTCACTTTTCTCTCCTAGTCTTTCGATTCTTTTGCCACTTTATAGTTTCACTAGAATTAGAAAAAGGAGGGGCTATCAGAGGTAGTGGGACCTATTGGTCCAGCCTTGTGTATGTGGATATGTTGTGTCTATGTATTCATTTATTCAACAATAAATTCAACTGAGTGCCTTCTGTGGGCCAGGCACTGTGCACGTACAGGACAGTCTCACTTTATTTGAGACCACGTAATTCATGATTCAGATAACCTTAACGAAGAAAAGAACCTGTTTACCAGCTAGAATAACCATGTGGCAAAGGTGAAAAAAACAATTTAAAATTTACTTTGTTTGCCAATTTCAAGATTATGGCATCATTGGTGAACGTTTGAAGAGAACTTGGGGGTCATTTTGTTTGACATTTTGCCCCTATAGTGAGACTTTATTAATATTTTATATTATGCTATTTCAAATATGCATAAAATGCAACAGCACGCTATCCATATTGCCTGGGATACTGTTTTAGTGGCTGGGGAATCCAGGAATACTGTGCAAACTGCTGCTATTGTCACCATATTCATAGACGATGAGGAGAAATATCTGGAAAATCCTTAAGTCTGGCCTCTCTGGCTTTCAAATGGATCCACGTAAACTTTACCAGGTGCTGGGAGATTCTTCAGTACTATATGAAACTAAGTTGCAAGCAATATCAAATTTTCACTTAACAAACCATTTTTAAAAATCACCAAACCACTTCATAGTGCATTAAAGAGGGCCTTATTTCAAGAAGTTTAAAGAATCATTTTTGTTGTAGGTCTTGGCCAGCCTGCGAACTGTACGGAACAACTTTGCTGCATTGACTAATTTGCAAGACCGAGCACCTAGCAAGTAAGTTATTCATTTTTCCCCCCTCCTTCTGGCTGAACTTTTTATAGTGTTTTTTCCATTTGATTGAACTCAAGGCAGTGTATTAGATTTCTCTGAATCATTGCCATGCTGTCTAACCATTTACACTAAGTCATATGAAGTCCTGTTAACTTTCTGTAAATACTTTGTAGTGATGGTTCTCATAACAGAAATGAATCAGGATGGCAAATAAATATGGTGATTCCATCTGTCAGAAATCACCTGGCAGGATCAGTCCTCTGCCCAGTTATTTACACTCAGGGTAACTTTATAGGTTTGGCTTAATTCATAAATTTACCATGGGCAAATAACGTCACCAAGCTTTGAAGTCAACCCAAAGTTATCCTCTTACTTCTAAGACAACCATTACTTGGAGAAGTGTCCTATCATAGGGAAGATCTCTAATTCTCTTGCTGTTACTGACTCATATCGGCAGCAGCATGGAAGAGTTAACAAGATGGGGATTTATGGGATAACAGGGGAAGCATTTGAGAGAGAAAGCTCAGATGGCAAATAACTATAATTTGGGGGTCCTAATAAAGATGGAAAATGAAAAAAAGAAAATTAATTTTCTAAGATTAAATGGAAAACTGATTATTCAAATGCCATAATTTTGACAATCTATTATGAATAATACAATATTATCTTTAAAATATCAACTCTGAAGAATTTTCCAGAAATAAAACCATTTCTTTTTTTTTTTTTTTTTTTTTTTTTTTGCGGTACGCGAGCCTCTCACTGCTGTGGCCTCTCCCGTTGAGGAGCACAGGCTCCGGACGCGCAGGCTCAGCGGCCTTGGCCCACAGGCCCAGTCGCTCTGCGGCATGTGGGATCTTCCCGGACCGGGGCACGAACCCGTGTTCCCTGCATCGGCAGGCGGACTCTCAACCACTGCACCACCAGGGAAGCCCAAAACCATTTCTTTAAATCAATATTAAGAGGACAGTGAATAGAAATTTATTTGAACTTATCTAAGCATATAAAATTTTGTTGTAATTACTACTTCTTAAAGAACACATGAAAAAAATCTAAACTTTCCACCCCATGATAATAGAGTCTACCTCCCAAATTCACATTTTCCATGATTAAAAAAAGCTCTGGCCATTATGCACATACTTCTTGTGATAGAACAAGGTTTTTTTTTTTAAAAAAAAAAATCAATATAAATGCCACAATGCAAATAATTGGAATGGAACCCAGAGGTGTCAGTTGACTGTTGTGTGTTGCAGGTAATGAAATTTTGCAGTCCTGTTCCCTTAGCCTGAGCATTTCTCACCTTCTTCTTCCCCTCCTCATCCACTGGGCTAATTGTAATTCATTCTTTAGGTTACAGCTTAAATATAATTTCATTTGGGGCACTGTCTCTGACTAACACCCAACATGCATGCACACCCACAGGCCCCAACCTGGGTGGTATGCTTTTCCATTGCCATCTGATTGCGTCCTGTCCTTAACCCCTGCTTTAGCATGTTTCTCTCAGTGTCCAGTTACCTATTTGCTTGTCTTAAGAATGTCAGTTCCCAGAGAGCAGAGGTCGTATCCAGTCCACATTTGAATTCCCGGTGCCTAGTGTAATACCCAGCACAGCGTCATCACTCTGCACATGCAGCAAACTGGCTAGAGGGGTGACGCCAGGATGCAGAATGGGAAACCTGAGCGTGGGCTTCAAGCTGTTTGTTCATAACCAAACACATCTTCCATGTTCAATCGCCCCTTTGGGGCTTTCGGCATTTGGTAGCTCCTAGGTATAGTCACCTCCTCTTTGGAAAGTCTCAACCCTGCAAGAGAAATGAAATTACTGGTGTCCCTTACAAACTTTTTTAGCCTCAACTTTTGTCCATGAAATTGAGATTTTTGTCTTTGAAAGGTGAACAAAACTTTTATAATGAATTCCTTTTATGCTTCCTTCAGACTTGGTCACTTGTGTAGCAGCATCTCTACCTGTGGCAGACACATAGTTGTTCAGCAGGTGTGAAGGCATCAGGCTGGCCTTTCTGTCCCCAAAGAGATGATCTGAGGCCCATTCTATATGAGACAGAGGTTTTCAGCTGACCTACAGGGACAAAACAGATTAAAATGGAAAAGAGCATCTAGAGGAGGGTAGAAAATCATACTTTATGCCTGAACTTGACCTGTTTTATAATGCCCTGGGTGAAGTCTAACCAAACAGTATTACCTGGCAGACCCTAAGTACAGGTGTTTGTGGTCTCTCTGTTGGTCAGTACAGATTTGTACCTCCTTTACTGATTCAAACCCAATCAGCCTTTTCAGGTATCAGAATAGTAGGACTCAATCTACACACAGATAAACTCTGTTCTTTTCAGTGATAGCAAAATGGATATGGATAGCAAAATGGTGCGTCACGTGATGACCCCAGGGAGCCAGAATTCCCCCGCAGGGTGCTCACAGTGCCACTAGAACGCTCCCCAGCTTACCGCTGGATTTTGTGGAAGGCGTATGCTAGCTTGCATGATCCACCTTTACTATTTACTACAAGAAAGGAACCTACCATGGTGTGTTAGTTTCTACTTTATAACAAAGTGAATCAGTTATACATACACATACGTTCCCATATCTCTTCCCTCTTGCGTCTCCCTCCCTCCCACCCTCCCTATCCCACCCCTCCAGGCGGTCACAAAGCACCGAGCTGATCTCCCTGTGCTATGCGGCTGCTTCCCACTAGCTATCTATTGTACATTTGGTAGTGTGTATATGTCCATGCCACTCTCTCACTTTGTCACAGCTTACCCTTCCTCCTCCCTGTGTCCTCAAGTCCATTCTCTAGTAGGTCTGGCAGTTCCTTAGTAAATTAACATAAAATTACCATATGACCTCATAATTTCATTCCTGGGTATACACCCAAAAGAAGTGAAAAGGTGTTCAACAAAAACTTGTACATAAACATTCTTAGCAGGACTATTCACAATAGCTAAAAGGTGGAAACAACACAAATGTCCATTAGCTGACAAATGGATAAACAAAATATTGTTTGAATTGAGTACTGATACATGCTACAACACAGATGAACTGTAACATTACACTACATGAAAGAAACCAGTTACAAAAGGCCGTATTATATAATAAGTATGAAAATAAATATTTTATTTTCACATGTTAAAAAAAAAGAAAAGAAAGGAGCCTAGAAGGATGCATCTGAAGCCCTGAGCCCTGAAGGTGCTCACTTGCACGTGGCTGACTTTTGCTAACTCACTGCTGGTTCCTGTCCCCTTGCTCTTCCTTGCCCTTGAGATTTTCCATTCCAGAAGTGAGTTCTGGCTCATTCTTCAATAACTGATTTATCACTGTAGCCATGGATCAAATGATTGATATTTTCTGCTTGTCATTACCTGTTGAAATATCAAGTTCCCAAGTGCCCGTTATAGGATTGAAATCAAAAGAAGATAATAAGAAACAAGTCCATGATGTGGTTTTCAAAACTATAGAAAAGTTTAAAAATATTTCTTTGATGCCTTTCCTAGACAAAATAAATGCTTTCTAAATTTTCACAGAGCAAGGACTAGAAAGGAGTAATCATTATATAAATGATTTGAATGATAAACTCTCAGCAAGTAGATATCTATTAGTATATAGACCAAAACTATTTCAGAGTAGCAGTTTTAAACATTAACCTTTCTTTTTTATAAAGCATGAGTTAAGTTTCAAATTCCCCCATTTTATTTCATAATAAAAACTGAAATAACTCAGAAGTAAATTTTGGTGCATTTTCAATCAAATGCAAATTTTCAATCCCAAACTGATATCAGTAAATTTAAGAGCAATAAGACAGAGCCAGATGCTGACTGGAACCAAGGCAGTGGGAATTTAAAAAGTACCAGACTGCTTTCCCCATGTATCTTCCAGCCCTGCTAAGAGATTCATCATCTCAGGAAGGCAGATTGGACCAGGGCTCTGCAGGAACCTGCCATCTGCAGAGGTTCCACGAAAGCAGCCTAAAAATAAGGCAACATAGCAGGGTGCAGGCCCTAGAATCACATTGCTTTGGTTCAAATCTCAGCTTTCTAACTTTGAAGAAGTGATTTACATTTCCAAAGCTTGTGTTTTCCTCATTGGTAAAATGGGAACCATGAGTCTGCCTGCCTTAAGGTTTGTTATGAGGGATTAAATGAGATAATTCATCCAACGTGCTCATTGAGCACAGCATCGGACACACAGTAAGTCCTTATTAAAGTGTTAGCCACTACTAGAAGTACCAAAACAAACAACCCCCAGCAATGAAAACAAACATTTTTCAGACACCCTTGAATGTATCTATTTTCTAAAATTTCCTTAAAGATCACTAATTTTAAGAGCTTTCAATCGTAAGTAAGAACTTTATAAAAAATTTCAAAAAACTTTAATAGAGATTCCATAAATGATATTTTCTTCAACATAATTGATTAAGCAGTGGATACATTGTGCTGGGCTCTGCAGGGAATACAAGTTAATCAAATAGCATGGGGTGTTTTTTTGTTTTTTTTTTTTTTTACCCCAAGGGGTTTATAATCATCGTGTGAAACTTCGCCAACATCTGAAAAATTAAAGAATACAAAATAGAATTGGTTTAAGCACCTTTAGTTTATAGTGTTTCTAAAGTCTCTGTAGCATCTATTTGGACCCATCGTTAATGTACCTCTCTAACAAATGGATCAGAGATGTTTCTTAATATAAGAAAATAGAAAGGAAAAAGTTGAAGTACAATAGCTTCTCAAAGTGCAATATAGTTTACAAGGAGTCATTCACTTCTGATAATGTATAGGCAATCGTGAGAATTTATGCCAAAAATAAAAGTTTCTTAACACTGTATTAGAGAAACCAATTGTAGACTGACTGCTTTGTCAAGTGCAGAAAGTCTGTGTTTGCTCTGTAAGCCCGGGCTTAATTGAATACGGTCAATCAATAAGGACTTCCTCTTCTCTCTTGTCTCTGTGACATTTACATCAGCTTTATTTACCCCAAAGTCTATCACCATGTGATTTAGCGCTTTTTTTTGACACGTGATCAAAGGGTACCTAGGAACTTGACTGGCTAGTCTGAAAGAAATCTTCATTTGCATGTCCTAACTTAAAAATAATCCTTAAATTTAAATGGCATATCTGAAATGACTCAGAGAGTCCTCAGACCAACAAAGTATCATATATTTACAGCTCTGTATTTTTCTCTCTTTGTCAGAAGATCACCCATGTGCAACCAACCATCCATCAACAAAGCCACCCTAACAGGTAAGAAGGACCTGGGAGATTATTTGTCTCACATCTAGGAAAAAGGCATATTTTCCAAGATTCAACCTTATTAGCACCAGTTTTTTCTGCAATTCTAAAATCTTTAAGAAATGAATCCTTTCTTCTCTATATTATCATTTCTCTCACTGACCTCACAAGCTGTCCATTTAACCTATTGGAAAAACTTAACTGGTGTGCCATTTTTTTAAAACAAGTTAAATGTTTGCTCTTACTCGGTTGAGTGTTGCTCTGGGCGTTTGTATTTTGAGAGATAGCATTACCTTCGAAATGCTGACCATGTTTCCGAGCTTGTGTTATCAGCATGATGTTAATATATGGTAGCTTGGTTGAATGAAAGTCAAAGCATAAATAAAAGATACCTTCTTGGTTAATGAATTTCCCAGTTGTGTGTAGGAAGGAACACCATTCCAGTACTCCTGATTTGGACCCAGAGAGTTGAGATTAAACTCAGTCTGAGATTAAATTCTGTATTTTACAATACAGAAAAGTTCAATGAGATCAAAAGAACAGATGTTTGGGGAAGAGAAGTGGATGGAAGGATGAGGGGCGTAGAGGTCAGAAGAATAAAATTACTCCGATTCCTATTAGTCTATTTTAGACATGGGGCTTGACCTCAGCTGAGCCAAAAACAGAACAGATGATCTCATTTTGCTAAACCTGAAACCAAATTGAACTCATTTGATCATTTCTTGAAACCCCAATTGATTCATTAAGATAATTGCCTGGAGAAGAAAACCCATGTTTTCTAAAATTATTACCAGAAGACAATTAACATATTCTCCAAACTAGACCAATACTTCACTTGATTCAAGTGTCTTCCTGGGACTCCAGCTCGTAATATGCAGAGGAGCTCATTATTACATTATCAGTGACTCTACTTTGCTTGAAAGTTAACTTCATCATGTCCAGTCAGGACCTTTCAACTGGGCTCCTTTGTGGTCACCACATCAAAGTGATTCTGGGACAGCAGTTAATGTTGGTCTTTCCTGAATGCCTTTCAAATGGGACTTGTGTTCCACTGACTATTACATTATTGGTTCTCTTTTCCACGTGTATCTTTCAAGATCTTATTGGTGATGATTTTCAACTGGCATTTCATAGTCTTATATAAGTCTGGTTTACCCATTTTCTTCTTGGCATTGGTCAAGAGATGAACAATAATTGAAATTCCTATGGATTAAAGGAAGTTCTTTGGGTAACAGATTTCTTCTTCAGAAACCCCGATTTAATATGAAAGAGCCCACATCTACCTGGGGCCTCTAATGAGAGAGACCACATGGAACCTGGTCCCCAGCCCTGCTCCCAGCACTAGACCTGACCCATATAAAGAGGGAGACCATCACCCCCTTTATCTTTGCAATAAGTATGACTCCTCTGACATCAGTTTGTGCAGAACTCAGTGCTATTTTGGCCCCTGAAAGCTTGTAGCTTGAGGTCACATATGAGCCAGCCCCACAGAGCATCCTACCAGAAGAGCAGCTGCAGGTACCAATGGAGGCTGCTGTGTCCACCAGGAGGGGGTGGGTGCTCCGTGGTCAGGGCAGCTGTCCGGCCACCCTGGCCAACGTCTGGCACTGATTAGAGAAGGAGTAGCTGCACTCAGAGGGCACAGACTTGGCCTTGAACACATACGAGAGGCCCCGTCGAAGCTCCCAGAAATTTCACGTAGTGCTGAGGCCCGGAAGCAATACCAGAGGGGACTGTGAGCCACAGAAATCTGGGCTAATATGGCCTCATTTGTACCCACATGATCTTGACCTGAGGCCTGGGGACAGTGGGGCTCTAGAAATATCTTATTTAGGAAGGGAAACTAATTAACTGTCATTAAGGGCTTTGTGCGGCTGTGTTCATCCCAAAGCACAACAGGAAATTAAATGACTTGTGAATGGAAGCCTTTTTCCTTGCCCAAGAATAGCAAACCAAGGTGAAAAAGTCAGATGAGGGGGTGAGAGAATGAGGGCAACAGCAAGGGACATTCCTCTCTCTGAGCTCATTCTGGAAAAGTATGCCCTTAAAACCATAAATCATGAAAACAGTAGTGGTTGAGACTTCGATGGGAGACTTCAGACATACAGAAAAGGTGGTGCTTGTGAATTCCTGCCCTCAGCAGCTGACTGCTCAGGACTTCACTCCAAGTTTGCTCCCTGGCAAGTGAGTGCAGTGGAGAAGAGTGTTAAAAAGAGTCAGTGGGGCACGCTTGAAGAAGAACTTGGCCTTCTTAGAAATTTTTCTTAGGTTCTAGAGGAACAGTGTAGTATGCAGGTAAGTTCATGTTTGGTCCAAAAGGCCGCTGTGGTGGACAGCACCAGGCGCCTCTGGAGGGCAGCTCCATAGAACAGCACTGACAGGGCGCTCCTGGAATTGGGGGGCAGGGGGCGGGAAGCTGCTCTGCATGTCCAGAATTCAAGCCATGTTCTATCATGATAGCTGTGTGGCTCTGGGCAGGTTACATAGCCTATCCCTGCCTGTTTTCCCATTTACAAAACAGCGATCATACTTCATACAGTTATTGCTAAATACATGAGTTCATTTGTACAATGCTCTTAGCATAGAGTGAGCACTCAATGCGTCATTTTATTTTGCTTTGTTGTTGTTTTTATTGGGTTTTGTTTTTAGGATTCATGCTGTATGTCACTAGGGGTGATGGAAAGAACAGGCCAGAGAGATGGGAAAAGGAAAGGGAAGAGTGCAAGACAAACTGGCAAGGTCATAGGAGTAAAAGTTATGGATCCGCCCGAAATGGTCAAAATGAACACACTTCCTTTGTGCCTGTTGTAAGCGGGGCCTCTAATTGCTCCCAGCACTGTATCCCGGCCTCTCATCACAGCCACAGGCATTGGCGCCTTTGTGGTGTGGGTAATAAACTATTGTTCAGGATTATTTTCAAAGTTGAAGAACTTATTTTTGAGTCACAGAACTTTGAAGACAGAAAATTAACTCTCCATAAGTCAACTTCTTGAGTTTTATAAAAGAAGAGTTGAGAACTTTCACTCTCTCCGTCTGTCACACTACACCTTCTAAAACTTGCTCCCATAGAACTTAGACTGCTCTTTTCCCCCTTAGAGGTTATTCCATTTGACATGTGTTAAAGCCAGGAAAGTTTGATTTTATATCATTAGGGCTAAAGCATGTTAGTTAGTCGCCAGATTTTATATCTATACATAATAGGTAAATTCATAGCTCTACAACGATTTAACAATTTTAAAAAAAAATAAAGTTTCCAAATGCGCGTTTAGAAAAGAGCCTTCCTGCTGAATGGCTCTCTGTTCTTTGGTGTGATATAACAAACAGACTGGCCTGTGGCATTTGGGGCCTGAGTGCAAACCCTGTATCTCTCATTCGCTTTATTCCCTCGTTTGAAAAATGGAGATAGGAGCTCCTCTCAGTGCTGTTGCAGGAATTCAAGGAGGTAAGTTAGATGAGGAACAGAAGCCTGTCATGAGTAACTCACCAAGTGTTTCTTCCTACAACCCTCCTCCATGCCTGACATTTTGTTGTTGTTCCTAAAGCTATTTTAAAAACGGGTAGCATAGAGGAGGACGTTGATGATGTGTCAGCTTCACTCGTGCACTTCATTTATGATTTTGTTTGCAGACAGTAATGATGGGGCATTTTTAGGAATCTCTGTGCTTAGTGCAAGGCTCACGTGCATAGGTCCTTAGCGGATGGTGAAGAGCAGAACTAAAGAGTGTGTCGAAACATGAGAGGGCAGCAAAGAGTCAGAGCTGCCCAAGCCATACCTGCGTTGTGACACTGAGCCCTGGTTTGGGTGTAGAGCCATGTCTTTGGGGGCACAATTGGTTCTCTTGAGCATTTCATTTTCAAATGATATTCACTCAAGAAAAGAGTTCTGTGGCCATCTCATGAGACCTTGTCACATCTCCACGATATCACTTTACAATGTTTGTTATTTACATATTTTCTGTCCCTTTATTTAATCATATTTAAACTGAGGATTTCCATGTGAGAATGTAACTGAGAGAAAATTTACTTAAACTTCTCTAGTTTAAAGATGAGAAAACTGAGACCTAGTGAGAGAAAATGCTACTTAGAGGCAGAGCCAGGAATAAATGCAGGACTCCTTTTTGCCAAGTCTAGGATCCTTCTTATACATAACCCTATAAAATTATCCATCAAATTAGGGTAGCCTTCAGACCCACCATGGAAGTATATGTTTTGGAGAAAGTAAAAGAAATCTTACAGGATATTGATTTCTGGGTAATAGATATAACATTGGATTTTCTTTGTATATGGACCCAAAAATTTGAAAATATCCTGTCCCGATTTCTCACTGGACAGGTCTTTGTATTTAGAGCTATTTTTATTATATCCACAGCCTATATCTTAGAGGCCCTCAGGTAAGTAAAGACTGGCAGACTAAGGAGAAAATACAACTTCTATCCATGCAATAAAACTAGTACAATTGCCTCCTCTTTACCTGTAGAGGGAGTGCAGGGACAAGCGTAAAATAACGCAAAAGTAGTTTTAGTCCAAAAAAAATTTAGTGTATCTCCACTCATATTTTTGCCCTGAATATTCCTAACTCCTTTAACAGAAAAAAAAGAAAAAAAGAGTGCATTTTCAATAGAATTTAATCAGTTGGTAAGCAGAGGATTTAAAAAGTAAACTATCCAAATATACTAGTTAGTCAGAATACAATAAGACACTTACTCTTGTTTGTTTATTGTTCTTCTAAAGCACAAAGCAGTTTATAAAATCCATTGAAGAAAAAAAAAGCAAAGATTTTTAACTGGAACAGTTATTTTGTTATTACCGGGACTAATCATTTAACACTTTGTGCCACTAAAGAAAGGAAACTAAACAACTACTTTATGTGACAATAGCAATGCTAGTGACTTATATAGGTTTGCCTTTTAAATCTGCGCGTGCGCATGCGCGCGCACGTGTGTGTGTGTGTGTGTGTGTGTAATAAAAACAACTAGTGTACATAACGTGAAAAGAAATATATATATATGTAT